TCTATAAAATATATTTGAATTTCAAGACCGTCGAAAATCAATGCGAAAAATGCATGCTACTCAAGTAGTCATTTTTTACCGAGCACGCTTTCTACAAGAGATTTAAAAGAAGTGCATTTAAAAGCCGACATCCTGCCGAGTCCAAAATGTTATAAGAGTATGCCGCAAGATAATCAGTATTGCAACCGCGACCAAGTAATCCTTCCTAATCGAAAACGCATTTCAGGATTTCAGCCAAAATTTCATGAGATAGGTCACTCACTGTATGAACCATCCTAGACTTTTCTGCAGTAGAATCTTTAGCCCACTTAAAAAGCACCTTATTCTCCCCGAAATCGTTTGCACCCATTATTAAATTGGGCCAGATGTGGTTAAGTAGCCGCACCTGAGGCAAACAAACTCCAGCCACCTGTAATACGGAACCGGTGGTAATAGGGGTTTTACAGGGCGGGACCGACGAACGCAGAGGCGACGAGGTCAAGTAGTTGTATAGAGCTACTGAGAATGCGCGGTTGTTCTTTGATTGGTTGAAAAATAGTTACCATAACCCAAACAGTATTTCATCCGTCATGTGCGGCTACATAACCACATCTTACCTTTAAATGTGTTGAGCAGAACGACATTCCAGGACCACTGGTAACTAGAAAAAGGTAACGCCATCGTTTCTTAATTTTTGATGCAATTGATAAGAAGTACTTTAATGGGCTACTGATAAAATAACCTTATCTGTAAACTTTGCTTCCAATTTATGTTAGCCAGAACTGAACTGTGCGATTAAGTTGAGACGAGTTTCGCATAGATCAGAACGCATGACTGTTTAATAGGTATGTCAACCAAAAACAGTACGGATCGTCTAAAAACTTCATCGCTTAATCGAATTTGGTATCCCTGGTATGAATCGAAGTTAAAGCACACAAAGCGATCTTATTAATCAACTAATGTTTTAGACCACCTGGTCAGAACGAACTCCGAGAGAATTCTCTCGGCCGGTCGGTGTTGCACAGTTCACTCAGCGCCGGTCTGAAAACCAGCTCACTCCGATTTATTTGCACTAAACGGGCTGCTGAGCCAAGCTGCCACTCAAAGCACGCTCTGGCTGACTGCGCAGATAAGTTGTCGTCGGCAACCAGTGTCAGCAAAAAACCAAAAAAGTAACAACCAGACCGAAGCCAACGAGATCGGCTGATCAGTTTAAATTTGAAATAGGTTTTGTTTTCTCGTTACGAAAAGATAATTAAATTCGTCTGAGCATCAGAGAACCACTAATCTGTTGAACGATTGTCTCTCTGTGTAAATTAGATCGACATTTTTTGCGCACTCAGTTGCCTGGAAGACTATTCTAAGGTTGTCAGTATTGGCCGAGTTGGCCATAAGATTGATTTCGGCTTAAAGGCTTACTTAAAAATTTTGGAAAGCAAACGTATTGTTTAAGCAGGCAGTTGCACTTTGTAATGTATTTTGCTTCACTTAAGGGGAGTAAATAACTTGAACTATAAAATCACCTAGCTTTATGTGTTGGTCAACTACGATAGATAGTTTTGAACGCTCTAGATTCGGAAACCCAGCGAATACCACACTTCATGTGAAAAATTATGCTTAACGTATATTAAAGCAAACGTCCCATTATTCCTCTGATTAGACAGTGTCTTTCAAGTCAACTTTATACGTCTGCTTTAGAACAAATTTTATGCACGACACCTTCATCCTTTAAAATTTTTTCCTCAAATACGCGTTACTTAGAAGGGTAAAATTTGATTATGTAGCCCCTGCTGATGGACGCAATACTGTTGATTTAGGGTTAAAGGCTTTGGCTGAGGGTCACGGTTAGGGTTGGAGTTAGGGGTAAGAGCTTAGGGTTTGAGTTAGGGGTTAGGGCAACTATTTCTCAACCATCCAAAGTACAACCGCGCATCCCTAATAGCTTTTCTTTTGCGCACAATTGCTTGACCTTGTCGCCTGTGCGTTCTTCGGCCCAACGGGTAAAGACCTTCATTATCACCGGTCCCGTATTACAAACAGCTGGGGTTTGTTTACCTCAGGCGGGGCCACATCAGCACCTCTAGCCCTTAGAGGGAATAGAATACTTCCTGTAGGAAGGCAGATTGCCTACCAGTTCAGAGCTGAAGAATAGGCGACGATCTAACCACTAGCGTTACGGAACCACCGTCGAGAACCTTGAGTAGGCTTGAGAAATCAGGTCACGGCATTAGAATTTTTAGGGTCTATATGCCCGAGTAGGTTATATGGATTAGTTATACCAAATTTTAAAAAAGGAAAGCAAGCAGTATGCGACTCTACTCAGGGAACGAACCCAGGGCGTTGTGGTACAATGCGTCCTCGCCTTTTTAAAACTGACGCTTCCGCGCTCTCATAAGTACTTGGAAAGTAATCTAAATTTTCTGCGTAAACAGACTGGAAGGACTGTGAAAATTGCTCAAAGTTTGCTTGCGCTGTCAGATATCTTGGTACCGTCATCATTCTTTGGGGATCGAGTTCCTGGTAAGTATGCCCATTTGCAAGTAGTTAGTGGGGAAATTTGGCGCAAGGACACAATATACCACCTCAGCATGTATTCGAATACTTACCGACAACGGTATGGAGAAGGACCCCACTTAGTTGACGGCAGGCTGTGGATCACGTCATATGGGCTTTTGAAAACAAGCATGTACAGCAGAATTTATTGGGGCCAAAAAATTTCGTGACGGCTTTTCAACTGCAACCCGTCTCTGCATAACATAGGTAACGAATGAAAGCGCACAACAGTATGAATTTGTACAGAATGGCAGTGCATAGGAGCAAGGTCAAAGCTCAAAATAATCAATAATCAGATAAGACGACCAACATAAGCATCAAAAAGGAAAAAGGGGAGACGAAATGCTAACAACAAATCACAGTCAGGGGAAAATAGAGGCGTGAGATTACCAGGGCAATTGCAGATTGATCACGTGATCTAACTGCTTGCACAGGTCTGGTTTCTCCCTCCGTATGTAGGCTGCTTCCAAATAACGCAAGGTTCGAGTTGTACGTGCTCGGACAAGTACTCGAAAGGATGCTTTAGGGTCGGCAACATGACCGTTATCTAACAGGTGTTTCGTTATAAACGAACGGGTCCTGCCAATGCACGCCACCCCCAATTGTGTGTATGAATTCACATGCACTTGCGGATGCAAGTACATTGGGCGAACGCAAAGGCAATTGGCAACCAGGGCCGCTGAGCATTTGCCTAATTGGCTTTTCAAACAGGGAAATAGAACCCCCCGTTCGTCTATAACGAAACACCTGTTAGATAGCGGTCATGTTGCCGACCCTAAAGCATCCTTTCGAGTACTTGTCCGAGCATGTACAACTCGAAACTTGCGTTATTTGGAAGCAGCCTACATACGGAGGGAGAAACCAGACCTGTGCAAGCAGTTAGATCACGTGATCAGTCTGCAATTGCCCTGGTAATCTCACGCCTCTATTTTCCCCTGACTGTGATTTGTTGTTAGCATTTCGTCTCCCCTTTTTCCTTTTTGATGCTTATGTTGGACGTCTTATCTGATTATTGATTATTTTGAACTTTGACCTTGCTCCTATGCACTGCCATTCTGCACAAATTCATACTGTTGTGCGCTTTCATTCGTTACCTATGTTATGCAGAGACGGGTTGCAGTTGAAAAGCCGTCACGAAATTTTTTGGCCCCAATAAATTCTGCTGTACATGCTTGTTTTCAATTCATACCGGGGAAAAAATGTTTCAAAATGGGCTTTTGTCTTTGCATCCATTCGTAGGCTTTCGCAGACATTACACTGCCAATAACAATAATTTGCCATGACTTCAAACCATCACTCAAACTCCTTTTTTTTTGAAACCTAGTTTTTGTTTGTTTTTAGTTACCGCGTGCATCTCCGTTGTCGTAAAAAAGCATACGATGTATCTTTTGACAGAACTCCAAGCAATTTCTGTATTTTCCTGCATTTTGTCAGTTTACTGTCTAGTATGATGCCCCACACGTAAAACTCTCCTAAACATCTATCATGTATGAGATGATCCACAGTGTGCCGTCAGTTAAGTGGGGTACTTCTCCATACCGTTGCCATGCATTATTTCCATCAGATGATCTAATCAATTAAACGTCCAGAAAGGGGAGGCACCATCCCGTATTTTTTCCACAGGGCAGTTTAATGCTGTGTGAGCTTGATTTAGCTTTGTCTCCAAAGACACTACGACGAAATTGTCATCAACATATCAAGCGCAGAAAACAAGACCGCTTATATGTGAGCGCAGCCGTTTCTTCTCTGGCTGCTAGCAGGAGTTCTAGATGTGATCCCATAGCCACTTCGTCGACCTAGCGGTAAAATTGGCAACCCCATCCGAACCGAACATTCAGTGCGCAGTGAAAGAGCAGTTCCCTGAGGAAAAAGACCGATACTGTCCATTGGAATTCTTGTTTAACAATTCGTCACATAAATATCCTATAATCTCCATGATGGGGATGTTTGTGAACGGAGACGAGACATCTAGGCATGACATCGTATGAAGGCGAAAGTTCTAATTCCAGGTGTGTGCATAAATGATGAAGAAGAGGGGTCGAGCAACGTATGACAGGATCCACAGTCTGCTGCCAGTCATGTGGGGTCCTTCTTCATACCGTTGCCAGATATTCGTTTGGATGTGGGACGCAGTGCCTGGGCAGAGTGGCAACTTGGAGAAAAGAAAATAGAATAAGTGCAAGTTTGGCAAATCGCAAAAATCAAGAACGACATACCGTAGAGTGGTTATAAACTGGAGAGTTAAATAAAATATAAAAATCATCCTTAACGTGTTTATATTTCCACAGTTTTAAGAGCGAAGCGGGTTCAT